TGGAGTCGGGGAAGCAGGCTGCCAGGGAGAGAAGCAGTGAGCCCGGTCTGGGGGGACAGTGGCTCCTTCTGCCCGCAGAGGCAGGGCCAACAGCCACCCCCACTTGCTTGCCAGCCACAGAAAGGTGGGAGCAATCCACTTAGGTACCTCCCTAATGAGTAAGGATCCCAGTGGATGCAGAGGCTGTTCCCCAGCACCCAGGCCATTTTGGGGCCTCACTCACCAGCAAGCCTGCCCAGACCACCGTTGCCAAGACCAGCGTCCTCCTCGATCTCCTCCAGCTCCTCCATGTCCAGCCCCAGCTACAGATGAGAAGGAGAAGGCGATGGGATGGAGACCCTCAGCGTGACCAGCCCCATGGAGGGGAGGCACCGCTGCACCCACTGCTGCTGTCCCCCTTGTGGGTGGGCTCTAGAGGGGTGTAAAGGCACCCGACCCTGCAAGACAAACACCATAGCCCCCCAGCACCCCCATCTCCATCCCTCCAGGCATCGCCCTTTAGCAGAGACACCCAGAGACGCAGCTACGCCCCTTTTACAAGGAAATTAAGATTTCCCAGCCTGGGATGCCGTGGGAGGATGAGGTTTTGCCTATGCAAAGCTCCTCGGGCAGCTCAGCGGGAAATAAAACAGGACCTTGCCAGGGCTGAGCCACCTTTTCCCATGGAAACCCCTCGGTGCGGTGTCCCCCTGATGTCCCACAGTCACAAGTGGGGACAGCCCCAGTCCTATGGTGATCCAGGTGAGGAGGCTCTTCCCCTCCAGCTGCCGCCCTCATTGCCAGGTCAACAGATTAAAAAAATAAGAAGAAAAACCTAAAAATAAGTTCCTCTCCAAACGTATTTGCTCAAAAGCTGCTCCTGCTGTTGTGTAACCGCCCTGGGCACATAGGGTGGTGTCGGTCACACAGATGGAGGGAAAGGAGCCACCCAAAAACCTCTGATAACCCAAACGCATGGAGTGCCAGCACCAGGCCGGGGCTGCGTTAGGCCAAGGTTTTAACCCTCTCTGCCGTTGATTATGGCTATTAATGACCCTGTATAGGCAACCACCAGCTTCCGTGCTGTGTATGGGCTCAAGGAGCTGGTGGCAGACAATGTGGTAAAACGAGAACATCCCCAGGAGCAGGAGCGCGTGGAGCACCCCCGGTCCAGGTCCTCCCCCAGCCCAGGGATGCTCACCTGGTAGATGGCTTCGTCACAGGCGTTCTGCAGCCCCAGGTTAATCATGGTGTTCTGCAGCGTCCGCCCCATGTAAAACTCCAGCGAGAGGTAGTAAATCCTCTACAAGAGAAAAAACACCCCTTGGTCACCTTCCCCAGGGCCAGAGGAGGCTCTTCTGGAGCCCAGAAGCTGCTATTGGGCATTATCCCCAAGCAAGAGGCAAAAATCCCAGCTCTCAGCAGAGCAGGGTGGTTTGCTGTGGGAATCTGGGGGGTGCAGCCCTGGCTCTGCGCTCCTGCTGCTGCGATTGGGAAGGTTTTGTTTGGACAAGTCCCGGGTGAGAGCAGGGACAGCTCCAGGATGGTCACCCTGAGCAGTACAAAGTTAAACTTTAAAAAAGGAGACATTTCCTAACTTCACCCTGAGCTGAAAAGCGAACTGGAAAACCAAGCAAGCTGGCGGGGCCAGACGTGTGGAGCAGCCATGGGGACATGGGCTTCCTCTGCCGTCCCCGGGGTTTTCGGTCTCGGGAGCACCACAGGCACTCACCAATGAGCGCAGGATGTGGCCGGTAGCGCGGCGGTTTGTGTAAGCCGTGCCCCAGAGTCAGCACCGTCGGGTTTTAAGGAAGGATTTAGGCTGGAGGAAGTCGCTGACTTAACAGGTTCCTGCAGGAGCTGCACAGGGTTAGGCTGGGGACAGCGATGGGATGCACTGGTTTGGTCCCAGCAGAGCTGGACACAGCGATGCCGGGGGGACAGCACAGCTCAGTTACACAGGAGGGTCCCCAGATTCATGCCTCGGAAGAGGCTCAGTTTTTCTTCCTCCCTCACCTGTACATGACACAGGGGGGGTTGAGCTATCAGGGGCTGGCACGGTCCCAGCAAGGCGCTGGCAGTGCCACTGTCACGGTGAGGCAATTGGAGCCGACAGCACCCTCCAGGTGTCCGGAGGGGATTAGGGCTTAATCCCCCTGCAGCCAGCACAGACGAGCAGGGATGGAAACTCCTGCCCAAACCAGACCTTTCCCGCTTGGGATCGCCATGGCACAGATTAGGCTTGCGCCTATTTTAGACAAAACTGGCTCCAGCTTCGTTAAAGCTTTTCGACCGATTGGCCCTAGAAGGCGTCGCAGCTGCTTTCGGGGGAGCGCGCCCACGCCAGCGCCGCCGGACAGCAATCGCCGTTCCCATGCCCTGCGCCCTGTTTGTTTTGCAGAGCGAAGGACAACGTCCCAGCTTGTTAGAGTCCAGTCCCTACGCTTGGCAAACCTACAAGGAATGTCCCAAAACCTCCCCCAAGCCCCTCTATTCTCTATTTTCCACCAAGGCTGGCATTCACAGGGGAGCAAATTCCCACCTGGGTGATAACATATAACTTTAGGAAAGCTGGAAGGGGGGTCCCACCACCCTCCACCCTATGAAAAGGGGGTGTCCCCGTCCCCCCAGCATCCCCTGGCTCCCACCTTGGGGTCCTTCTCGTAGTAGTACTGCTGGGTGCGGATCCAGCGTCCCACCAGGTGGTCCCGCACGGTGTGGGCCAGGGCGAAGTAGTAGTCGCGGGGGGTGGCCACGTTGCGGTCCTTGACCAGGGTGAAGTGGAGGTGGCGGTTGAAGCCCCGCTTCAGCTCGGCCACGCTCTCGGCCCCCACGATCCCGCGGATGCTGATCTGCTTCCGCCGCTCCTGGTCCGACAGCGGTCGCGACATGTCGGCGGGGCTGCGGCGACAGGGAGGGGACA